AGCAAAGCATTTAAATAATACCAAGTGGTCTGTCCACGGGCGATTTTCCAGAAACGCTATATTTAAGAATGACAATCTATGTTGTTCTGGTTTGTTGTTTATGACGTGTGAAAATGCTTTGTATCTACTACTCATATCTCTGTGCTTTTTCATTATTTCAGCCATTGAGCTTTCGTTGATCGTTTAGGTGACAGAAAGCCATTGTTCGATTTTATTGTGTATTTATGGAAAACACCAGTCAGAAATTTATGACTTTATCTGTGATACCCTGTGATAGTTTGGACCACCTACTATCGAGCAAGGCGGGTCAACATGACTCTTTTGATTTTACGGGATGCTTGTGCAAGAGCGCCAATGAAAGCCCGGTTGCTTTTCCTTTCCTTTCCTTTCCCATTCCTTTGTGAGACTGCTACTGATTTAAAGGGACCAACTCTAGGTTTCTGCCGTGAACGTTGTACATTTTTTTCCAGACTATATTTCCCTTGGATGCATACCGACCGTCTAAGTATTTATTATTTTTATTTCTGTATCCGTAGGTATACCACCTCCGCCACCCCCGGGAGGTCTCCCGCGCATGCCGCCTCCACCGTTTGTTAACCCCAATCCTCCTGTTGCACCTCCCCCGCCAAGTAAGCGAGATATGGACGGAGATGACGCGGCTGGTAAGAAGTCCAGGACTGAGCCGGCTGAAGCAAATCTTGTTCCCGAGGATCAGTTCCTCTCCTCCAACCCTAACCCGGTCACCTTTGGTGTCCAAATCCCTAACATGCCAGACAAGTCCGAGTGGAAATTGGATGGCAGCACAGTTCGTCTTACTTTGCCGCTGACGGATCAGGTGAGTTAAGTATGGGTCTGGTACCGAGAGAAGTGTATTTTCGCGCGAGAAAGCTCTTAGGGAAACCACAATAATGTTCCGATACCTGAGCGCTTATTGAAAGGATTGCTCTGGAAAGCAAATTCAATAAAATCATACAACGGCAGCCCTGCCGTCTTAGTACCGGCAACGGTGTTGTTGTTCTGGGCAATTTGCATGTCGTAAAACAAAAACTATGTTTATTATCACGGCCAGTTAGAACAAACAAAAATATCTCAGGGAGCCAGTGAGAATTCAAAATGAACACAAATGCTCTGATTGTGTTTTTCTTCGTTCAGTGATTGGCTAGGAAAACTCGTGCCACTCTTCTTAACCAATCAGATGCACAAACTAGCCATGTCTTGGTGACGGGCAGTTTGCTTATATTTACTGTGAGTTTCCATTGGCTCCTTATCACAGTACTCCTTTTATTGTCTGAGGCTGTAATGATTACTTTGTTGCTGGGCTTACGACACTCAAGGGCCATGGCGAATTATAGCAAAATTAGTCCAATCTCTTATCACTTTGTACACTCAATTTAAGGTTGCGAAAGCTTGCAAACGGTTATCTTTCATAGAACAGTTAGAGGCTTAGACATAAGTGGCTGAAGCTGTTGTGTTTTGAGGAAACCTTGTTTTCTGAATGCTTTAACTCTTACCCGTAATTATCACATTACTTTCTCTTGACGATTTCTTAATACTGTTCTGTTTCTGCTCATTTCTCGCTAGATTTCTGTCATCAAGGCTAAACTGCACGAGATAACTGGTATGCCAGCTGGAAAACAGAAACTACAGCTTGGGGTAAGAGTTATTTAATCTCTCTCTTTAGCTGGATAGGACAGTTGTTAGTTGAATGACCTGCCTTTACAGGAGTTTTCCTGACAGCGTAGATGGAAAAATATGTCAAGTTTCTATTAAGTAAGTTGCCACGTCTAATACCAGTGCTTTGACGAGGAGACCTTTCAAGGATAAAAAAATGGTAACAAGGAAATTTGCTAGAGTAGATGACTTCATGAGGAAGCTTACCAAGGACGTGGTGGAAGGTTTTAGAAAAATTCTGCTCTAGCAGGTTTTCCTTGAGTGTTTTTGAGTAGATTACCTCGCTGATTTGCGTGGTGCAACCGTCATAGTGTTTGAGTAGATTCAAGCCAGCGTAAAAGAAATTCCATCTCGTTTTTCGTCCAAACTTTTGGCCTCTAACAAAAATGTTAATGGATAAGTTATCTGACAGATGTAACTTGAAAGTCACGAACTCGTGTGCGACCTCCCAAATATTTTATGTTGGCGACAGATTAACCGGTTTATCTGCTATAATTTATCCGGTGATAAAGCTTATTAACTGCGTGGACAATCCGCTTACGACTAGACATGCACTAATTAGCGTGCGGACAAGTGCAAACATTGACTCAAGGCAAACGAGCAAATACGTACGTGACAGTTCACGACCGAGGCTGAAAGGTAGTTGGTGTAAGATGGCGATTTCACTTCCCTTAAGTTATTTTTCTCGTTCAATTTCTCATGCAACTTCTTATTCTGAGATTCGTGTCAGAAACAAGTCGCCAAAGAGTTAAGTTGTTTATTTTGGCTCAGAATCCGGCAGGAAAGGTCCATTGTTTTCATTCGTTTTCTTTTCTTTCTTTTTTAGAGGTCAAGTGCTTATGGAGGCTTTATTTATTTTTTTGTCTTTTTCTTTGTACATTCGTTTCTGTGAAGCACGAGGGAAATCTAAACACGATTTTTATACGTTGCATATTTCTGAGAGGTCCTATCTGCTTTATAATTTAGCCGTTTTGTCGGGAAAAGTGTGGTAATTAATTAGTTTATCATTTAAGCGATTTTCCTAGTATTAAAATTTCCGCGTGAAATAGAAGAGCAAAAATTAAAGCTGATAAGATGGTTTAAGGGAGCGAGGTTTTGGCCAACCTTTCAATACTTTCCGTAGGTGAGAATTCATCTCATATTTTCTTTAAATCATTTCATCTGCCTTTTTGTCTCGTTCAGGGAATTTTCATCAAAGATTCCAACTCGTTGGCATATTACAATGTCACTCCAGCCAGTGTAGTGCAGCTACAACTCAAGGAACGCGGTGGACGAAAGAAATAAAAGACTTTGCAGTCCCAGAAGCCGAAAAGTTGCCAATTTCGTTCGGTTGTTTTTGTTTTACTGTAAATGCTTTCTCAAGACAAGTCTCCCCCTTTCCGTATATCGACCCCTCTCATGAGCGCCCTATGTAGAACTACAGTTATCTCATAAGCTTCCTTCTAATCTACTCTTCTCTGTATGAAACCATCCTCCCCTCTTTCTGTTCCCTAGAGAGAAACTCTTTTTAGTATAGTTATATTGTTTCTCATTTAGGTCAAGTAGCCTTTCAGTTAAAGAATATTGTGTTGTTTAAAAAGCCTGTATCAGTTTATGTAGGTTTTCGAGGAAAGAAATATGTTCCTTTTGGTAAATAAATAAAATTTCTCGGACTGTGACACGTGTTGAATTGTTTCAGCAGGGGCTTTGCATGACCTTTACGGCAAGCCACAACAGTTTAACTTGTCATCTTCTCTTTCCTGTCGTTTTGAGCTCATTCTTCTTTACCCTGTATCTGGCGTCAAAACTTAAATCTTGCCACTTTCAGCTTCAATTCGTTCCTTGTTAGAAGCGACTCCCACGTTATACACTTAAGAGAGAGGGAAGAATCCGAAAACACATTCCGAAACACAAGTGAATGTAATTTTACGCATCCGTAGGTGATCACTTATGCTTTTTTAAATCACAAAAGTTTACTTTAATAGCAAAACGCACACTTATGCGTAATTTTCTTTATCCGAGAGAGCCAAATTGCACTCTTTGGCTAAGATATTTTCCTTACTGGCCAAATTACTTCGTGAGGCCCAAAGTTGGGGCCAAATTTGTGGATAGGTAGTGTAGTAAAGTCGTCCAACTCTTTTAAGTCTAATTGCATCACAGGGTCGTAGTTGATGTACCTGTAGACGCAAACTGTTTTCAAAAGCCATGCAATCCTTTGAAAAATTGTTTATTATTGCAAAACTGTGAAATCGTCAAATGACTGAAAGATTTAAATTTCTGATAAAACTATGATGCTGCTTCGGTGGGTGGTATCGCAATGTAATATCAACGTTTTTCCCGCAAATGGTCATGGGCTGCCAGTAAAAAGACACGCGCGCGAGGACTTTTAGGATCGGCGTCTTTACAACTGTAAACAACAAGCCCAACTCAAAAAAAAAAAAAGCAAAATATCATGGAATCGTCAAGGTGGGTGTTCGTTGGGATGAGTACTTGAAATGATAGCATCCTACCAAAGACGCCCTCTCCAAATGAGCAGAAACCTCGGTTGAATACGCAATGTGCACCCATTTGTAAGTGCATATAGACTTTGTAATCACTTTGAACCGCCCGCGTGCGAACGTAATCGGGCGTAATCAATTAATTTGGGTTCATTGTTGTTTTCAATAGGGTTCATATTTAGTAGTTTCACTCTAGAAGGAATTATTCATTGCTCAGTTTATTTCAGATGTAACTTGATCGGAGCCTTTGTTTGTCGACGAAGGTTGTTACAAAAAGTTGAGTCTATTGATCACTGATTTTAGATTGATGGTTGAGCACTTGAAGAGACTAGTGCACGCTCCCAAGTCTATCAAAAGAAGATATTTAGTACATATAGACTTCCGCTTCTCCCGTAGGCAATAGTTTCCTCACTTCCGTTAGCGTAAATCGAAAGAGAGACACTTTAATTTTGAAAAATACTCCCGCGTTTCTTCTTTATTTTTGTAGATATTTTGTTAGTGACGTTGATGTAATGTTGAAATCAGAGCTTAAGTCTTCCTGCCTTCATTTACACAACATGGTCCTCAAACAAAGCGTTACGAATAGTAAACAAGCGCAGCGTGCGTGACATCACGATATGTCTATTTGCACCTCATTGTTTTGAATCTCCACGAGGGAGGAGGGGATGGTAATCATAAATTTTTTTCTTTCCCTTTAAATTTATTTAGGACAAGTCGAGCTCTTTCGACCGTTCTGGGATTTATTGGCACTAACATGTATCGTTTGCTATAGGTATTTCCCTTTCGTGTTCTGCTGAGGTACTTTTTGTTTCGAAAATTTGTTGTTGCAAGTTGGGAGCCCCTCCCGTCCACAGTCATGTTCAACTTTTCACACGTCTTCTAGAACTTGATTGACGATTCTTTGTTCTCGCGCGCCAGAATTGCTCACGCATTGTCACTTTCAACGTATCTTTGATTGATTTCGTTGTCGTTAAAGGATTTGCGATGTGGGTTGTTAAAGTTCTAAACACGGGTAAGCCTTCGACAATGTTGAAATATTATGTTTTTTCTCCATCGAAGAGCACATTCAGTGACACTGTTTCACCACCTGCTAGCGAAACTTTCGGGGTCCTTTCACCGATTCTGCGGGGACTTCGCAAACGCCGCTACACGTGGGGATCGATCGTTCAGTCGACTGAAATGCCATTTTCTTTGTTGTTTTTCTCACAGATGTGCACTGTTTGCCGGTATTAGTAGCGGTAGTGGTGTGCGTTTTCGCTCTTCTCCTCATGGTCCGAGGTAAACCTCGAAGAGGAAAAGTAAGTCATAGGCCATTTATCAAAACCAGAGGTCGTCGTCCTTCGCCAAGGATAACTCTCCTTTTCGGCAACAGGGTTAGTTCGAATATTTTTATTTTGAAAATTGTTGGTTTCCCTGACGCATTTTCTCTTTCATCGAATTAATGAACCGTTGAAAGCACTGAACGCATTTTGATTTCAAGTGGTATTGTTTAATTCATACGGCGAAATTAACAACTATCGAAAAATTTAGAAAATTCTCAATGAAATGTGGTGTTCATTAATTTGTTTGATAGATTGATCTTACGGAAGACAGGAGTTGCTCGAAAACTTTACAAAACCTTATTGTTTATGAAATGTGTAAGCAAACAATCCCTGTTCCCTCAAGTTTATTTGTTTTCAAATCTAATATTCATGATATACTAGCTTGCTTTTTCTGTATATGCGAATAAGGTCATCAAGATCCTATCTCCTTCCAAGAAAATAGACGGCTTGATCGCCGTCAAATAATTACGTATGTTTTTATTTGTGATTAGTTAGTCAAAGACAGTCAAAGAAAGTTCGAATTTCCGTTTTGCGGTTTTAAAATTTGCATTTCTTGTCGACTCGTAAATACTGTGGAAGACATGTCGACGCGATCAGGCGATTTCACTAAGTCACCACATGATTCGGTTTTACTTTGAAATTACGTAAAAAATCGAAACGTCACTTTGAATTTTCTCGAAAAGATCTCTTCAATTTAAAGCTAAACAATGAAACTTTTTTTTGTTTTTCATTTTTGGCACCAACAATACATTCGCCTTCCACCTGCTGATATTATACTAAACATCACGCAGGAAAAGAAAATTATCAATAAAAATTTAGTGAAGTGTATGTTCTCGCCGCTTTCATTGTCATACAATCTCTACAGGCCGCACAGAAATCTTTTTGAGGCGATCTTTGACTTTCTCACAATGTGCCTTACAATAATTTGTGAACTCTGTTGATAGGTGCAAATGTGTTTATATTTTTAAAAAGATAATCGAATTCAGACAATATTGTAATTGGACTTTTTGTGGGAGTTCCAATTGTGGGAAATAATTACCTGTTTACACAGTGAAGTCAAATTGTATCTACGAAAAAATTATAACAAGAATTTTTCAGTCAGGGTTGATTTTATATGATGTCAAGCAGCCATCTTATGATTGCCTTGCCAATCGATATCCAAATTTTGCTCAAAGTTTATATTTCACTCAGTCTGCATTAATTCTCAAGAGATTGTCCTATATTTTAAGTCCAGGTAAGATTACACTCACTAAATGTGATAATAAATATTCTTTTATCATGTTTTGACCCAAAGCACCGAAAATTATAACCCAGAAGATAAATAGACAATGTCATAAGGTATGATAAAATATGCAATCAATATCATCAGTGTAAATGCATGGGTGGACTTACAAGCTGAATTATGCATAAAATGTGCACAAAATTGGATAACATTTACTGGAAAACACAGTACATGCTACTTAAGGTTGTGGTCTGTTCTTAGTTATAAACTTTACTGATGAACATCTCATAAACTGATCCTGAAATAATAAAAGCCAACATGAAGCTTGAAATTTATTCTCTAAGGAATGAATTAATCAGCTGTAATTTGAATTTTTGTCATACGAATTGATGTGTTTAGAACTTTCAAGAATTATCATGTTATTGTGTTAAGGGCATCTTTAAAATTTGAACTCATAAAATGGGCTAAATGGTTGAAAAATGAAAAATTCTGATTTCAAGAGTTTTCTGCCTTTGTTAAACCCAACTTTATAAGCTTTCTAGTGGTTGCTTTTGCATCCCACAAAGGGAAATCAATTTGGCATAAATAGGTACATGTAATGTCAGTTGATGCTAATCTTTCCAAATCTCATCAAAGCTTAATCAAGTTTTGGGGACATACATTACCCTTCCTCTTGTCCCAACTTCTGCCCTCAGCAGTTAGCAAAAGTCCATCAAAATGCAAGCTCTCTTTTGACCCTCTTTATTTTGAACTTTAATTTAGTACAGGTAGCTGTCAAATGTATTAATTTAATCACTTGAAAATATTAGCTGAGCTGATTACCTCAGTCTGTAGCCTTTTTATTTTTAATTCTCTACAGTCAATTCCCACTATGTGGTCACTGCTTCCTGTGGGGCAGAAATTGTGGTTTGTTATTTTTCATTTTGAGAGCCATGCCATGGTCTTAACAAGAATAACAGAAACAATGCCTTTGTTGTTACTCATTGTTTTTCATTTTTATCTTGAGCTTAAGAAAATAAGTAATTATGTAAACCTACTCAGAGCTTTATTAAGTACTTATCATGTCACGAAACGGCTGAACAAAAGCTAAGATGCTAATGCTTGTTCATCTTAGAATAATCAGAGGCAATTTCCAGCTGTTTTATATAGTCAATAGGATGAAATGTAAACAATACAAATTTTAATGAGTCAGAGTCAATGTTAAGTTAAAAAATTTCTTAAAAATTAGCACTAACTAAATTCTGTTTGGCGACGAAGCTTAAGAAAAGAAACAGTTCTTCATTTTGCATCTGATACTTGAAAAAAAAACAAGAAAGAATTTCAGCCCTAAGATAGCTTGTGTTCAGGCTTAGATATTTATAATAAAACTAGTGATGACTTAAAAGTACAATTTAAGTTTGAATTGCTCTTGCATGGACAATAGTGCAATTTTGAATTGAGTATCAAGAGTAATACAGGATCATGTTGCTTTTGTTTTATTTCACCATGTGATTATTGCTTTTGTTTAACTCTTTGATTCCCAAGATCTGTTTGTTAGCTCTCCCCTCTAGCTGTTACAAATTTCCTTGTGAACATGTTACAAGAATTTGGTGTTAGATCAAGAAAACAATCTCTACCTGAAAAGTTTGAGTATTCCCATTACCTGTTTGCTGGATAACAGATGCATATCATTGGGAGAAGTTACCTTTTAATCACTTCTGGGAGTTAATAGGCTAAGAAAACTGGTGCCACACTCTCAACCAATCAGATGGAAAACATAAAATATCTTTATCTTGGCCACTTGCCTCTTCACACCCTTTTGGCAGTTTGCTTTTAAGTTACTTTGGGTTCTCACATGTTCCTTGTAATATTTCCCTTTGTTAAATTGACTCAGGCTGATATGATCTTGGTTTTGCAACACTCAATTTAGAAGCCCTTTTGCAGTCCTCTGCAGAAGTACTGCAAATTACAAATACATGGATGTGATACAGTTGAAGTTGACTGAGTTTGTAGCATTGCCAATGACTTGTTTATCCAGTTTTGTCTGGATTTAACCTTTCCAAAAATTGAATAAGAAAGAATGACGTTATGCTTTTTGAGTTTTCTGTATACCCCTCCCTTCCAGAATTGCCATTAAGGAATTTCTCGCAACAATATTGATCTATTGCCAAGTAGAAAGGTGATGAGGAGATTAATTAGTATATATTACTTTATTTAACCCTTTCACTCCCAAGATCTAAGTGTCAATTTCTTTGCAGTGTTCTAGTTCTGAGAATTTGATGTTAATTCAAGCAATATGTTCAATTGTTACTTAACTTTCTTCTCATCACCTTCATGCTTTTGAATGTACTAGTAATTTGTAAGGAACAGTTCCTCTCTAATTACCCCTGGGAGTGTTAACTCAGAGTGTTAACTCAAAATCCCCTAACAGCAATTTTGGGAGTGGGATGATTTAGTTAAAAAAAATAATTTGGCTTAAAGTAGATTGTGTTTAGTGTTAATTCTCTGCCTCATAACCAGTAGATGAGTGAAGAATTGCCTGACTGTTCAAACCTTGCTAAGTAAGCTAACAATGTTTGGTGCCTGCCCGCTCTGAAAAAAGAACCCTGCACTAACATTAAGACAAAAAATCAACACACCTCCAAGAACTTGCTCTTGCAGTTGCAAATTAGTTCATTAGAACATTAGAATTTGGTACAAAATTCCATGCATGGCAAAATGAAGAAAAAAATTTTTTACAGAAGATAGAATTTGATTCTTTGTATGTTATCAATTATGCCTCATATTTGATTGTTTTTGTGACCAGGAATTTCCAAATGGCCTGACATTCACTCCCAAAAATTCTTCAAGTCAACCACCGCTGTCAATTAGATCTTCTCCTTTCAAAACAAGACATGTTAGTAATATCCCAGAAAAGTGTTGTGGAAACCGCACATGGCCAGATGTCTTGACCTCTGCCAATCACAGCCTGAAGCAAAAAGTTCCTCAGCCGAAAAAGAAAAAATCCATGAAGGAGAAAAATATGAAACCAAGAGTGTTGTTTGCATCTCAATCTGTCCATGAAAAGCAGGTTGGTTCCGAGGAAGATAAAGCTGAACTCATTCTACAGGACAGGCCAAAACGCAGGGATAATGGACATATTGAACAAGCTAAGACTAGCGGTTTGTGTGAACCAGACCCATCTTTGTCTTCAAATGTCAAGGAAAGTTGTGGGCATGCAGACAGTCTGGGTAAATCAATTTCTCCATTGAATACTAAAATTCCACCAGATGATGGACAAGTTTCTCACAACAGCTCATCAAGCACAGTAAATAATGAACATTTGCCTAAGGTTGAGGCAAAAATTGATACAACTAGGCTGTCTGCAGATGTACCTAAAACAGGAAAGCCCTATGAAGTTAAATGGGATGAACAAATTAAACAAGCTAAGACTGGTATTTTGTGTGAGCCAGACCCATCTTTATCATTAAATGGCAAGGAAAGGTGCAGGCATGTACATAGTCAGGGTAAATCAATTTCTCCATCAAATACAAAGGTTTTACTGGGAGATGGACAAGTTGCTCAAAACAGATCAACAAGCACAAGAAATAGTGAACTTTCACTTAAGGTTGAGGCAAAAATTGATACAACTATGCTGTCTGCAGATGTAACTAAAACAGGAAAGCCCTATGAAGTTAAATGGGATGAACAAATCAAACAAGCTAAGACTGGTGTTTTGTGTGAGCCACACCCATCTTTATCATTAAATAGCAAGGAAAGGTGCAGGCATGTACATAGTCAGGGTAAATCAATTTCTCCATCAAATACAAAGGTTTTACTGGGAGATGGACAAGTTTTTCAAAACAGATCAGCAAGCACAAGAAATAGTGAACTTTCAACTGAGCTTAATTCAAAAGTTGGTACAATTTGCTTGCCTGTAGATGTAACTAAAAGAGAAAAGCCCTATCAAGTTAAATGGGATGCAAAAATTTCCAGAACCCCTTGTGAACGATTTTCATATTTTTTAACTCTGAGAGATGTAGAGACTAATTCACGTGTATCTTCAGAACATGGCTCATCATTTGTAACTTTTCTGCCCATTGGAGGTCATACCTGCAGGCAAGGTCAAAGTCAGGAAAATTTGTCATCAACAAAAGCAACAACGAATACAAGTTTATGCCAAACTCTGCAGACTAATGATTGTCATACAGATAAGGTAGAGCACAAAGTTCCTGAATCTTCCCAAAACACTTCTGCACCTGATAACCGGGAAGTTGATGAAATTGAATTGATGGATCTGTCTTGGGACAATTCTGATTGTTTTAGTGGAAACAGTGCAGGGTCCAGAGAATCTAGCCCACTGGAACTTATTAAGGAAGTGAGTTGTTCATCTGACAACAGCATTGGTAAGAGTGAACGTAAAATGCGATCATCCAGGAAAAAGGCTGTAAAATCTCACAAGAGAGAGGTGGTTAACTTTCACTGTAACAATTGTGATGTCAGTAACGATGCTGCACATTTGTCCAAGACACAATCATCCACAGAGAAGAATGGAAAATTTCCCATCCAGAAGCCATTGACCTGTAACCATAAGAACTCTGATGCCAATGATGTTGTTGCTCAGGCATCAAAGTCTGAAGTGCATTGTATACTGTGTGGTATCAGATTGTCTAAACCACAATGTTTTTATAGTTTGGGTTCCCTGTGCACTGATGATGACATTTGTGAAACTACCTCAGATGATATTAATCGACATCTTGTAAGTGATGTTGACACAAACCCTCCAGCAGGGGAAGGTAAAGGTCACCCTGACACAGGATACACCAGCAGCGAAGAACTTGAAAATGAAAGTGTCTTGCCAAAAGAGGTGGAGGCAATTCTTACTCACAAAAGACGTAGGACAGATGGTTATGATGGTGATCATGAGAGTGACAGCAGTTTTGAATCTTTTGTCTTTACATTGTCTTCAAGTGAAGATGAGCGAGAAGCAGTTTCAGTCAAGGAATATGTGAAACAGGAAACAAATAAGAGACAGGAGATGGCAATATCACAGACTATAGAAAAGGTATGCATGCCATGTTTAAAGTTTTGAATACACCTGTAACTGCACATCTTGTGGCCACAAGAATTTTTCCATTCAGACAAGGTTTTTTATATTTTTGTCCAAACTTGAACCTTTTACACCCTAAAATCAGTATGCATATTATCCACACTGTTCTTTATGTCATTTCCTAATGTGCTGACAAGGAGAATTTGTTTTGTAATCCAAAGGTTCCTTCCCTGATGATCATTTCTGTTATTGTCATAACCTTAATGAGTGATTCAGTAGTGATATTATAGGGAGAAATTAGATGCTGGTCACTCTAAGGGTTTAAAGGGTTAATGGAGGAGGAGGTTCAAAGGAAGTGTTGGAAAATGAAAATATTATTGAGTACAGTAATTGTACAGCACAACTGCTTTTGAATCTACTCTCTTGTCTGTACAGATGGACTCAAAGTGAAACTATGATAAACTGTCTATAACCCACTTGTAGCTTTTTGTCATAAAATTAAAAAACATTCCTTAAACATCCATGCAGTTATCCTGGTTTGAACCAAGCAGCCAGTCTAAGTATGAAGGTCAATGACTCCTTTGATTATTCTGTTCAAAAGGTTTTGACATGTGCAAAAGTCATTTCCTTCTGCGCATGGTATTCAATTATTTTTACTCTCTAGCACATGACTTCAAAGTTTGTGAACCAAATCTTCCATTTTACTGGAAATTTTTCCAAAGACTAATAATAAACTGTTTTATTGCATGGAAAGTTCCCTATGATTATAGTTAGGTTGGAATTAGGCTAACATTATAAGACATTTTTGTATTCTATGCAACATTCATAGAAAAGCTTCTTCCCACTATGACTATTTTTCAATTTTGGTGTTATCAATAAAATTATGATGCTAGCTGACTCTTCATCATTCTGGTCAATCATGAGCTGAAGACTTCCTCCTGGCAACTGAATGAACATTCATATGAAGTATACTGTGAAATACATGAAAAGAATCCCTCTTTTTGCTCTAAATTTTAAAACACACGAAACTTATAAAGAACTCCTGTTATCTCTAAAAATTCTACTTAATCTAACCTTGTCTCTGTCAGTATAAGAGAAGGTCAGTTGAGAGAATTTGAAGTTAATATCCAAATGAAACTTTTTTTGCTAATAAGTTTATCAATTCTCATCACCTGTTTGAAATTGTAAAGAGAAACTACCTGTTAATCAGTGGTGCCTACATAATTTTAACTGTGCTGATGAGGAAGGAATGTTCTTACATTATGGTTTTTAATTCTTGTTTTTTTCCTTTTTTTTCCCTTGAGGTCCAGAAATTAATTGCAAAAGCTCCAGCTGAAAAAGAGTGAATTAATCACTAAGACAACAGGGTGAACTGGAGCAGGTAAACAATATCTCCCCTCTTTGTCTGGTATCTGGTGGCAGTTTAAGTAGCAAGGGTGGCCTTCAGATGACATGTGACATGGTTACTCTTGGATTACACAAGTACATTTATGGTTGCAAAAGAGCTACAGCTGTTTTAAGCTACTCTGTTATGGTATAGCTTTGAGAATTGTAAATCAATACAAAATTCTTAAATAAGTCCTTACTTGTCAAAAATATTTAGGGGATTGAATTATGGAGTTTACAATGGTGGCAGAAAGTGAGACTAACTCTATTGCTTTCTATACCCATTGTTCTATCTCCTACTGAGAGAAAAAGCAAATATTTCTAAGAGAGGTAGCTTGGGAACTGATAAATATTTTGGTGTTTGCTATGAATGACACAATTCATTTCTTAATTAGCAATTGATTTGGAATAAAATACTGTAGATTGGTGTCACACCCAAAGGTTGAGATTCTGGTTTCAGCTCTTACATTGTGTCATTGTTTTAATAATTCTTGATTATTAGTGTAATTATTTCTTTTATATATTAATTTTTTTATACTTGGTAATCAATCTCTGTCAGTCATTCTTGGTTGGCTTTTCTCTATAGCATTTGACTTCATGGATGGTTAACTTCCTATCATTATTTATTCAAAGTAAGTCAATTTTAGTGTAACTTACATGAGAATTGTAAAAGAGAATTTGTCAGGTCTCAAGTTTTCCTTTTCATAAGGCAGAGGTTTTATGCTTCTCAGAAAATTACTCATGAAGAACTTTCTAATGGCATTTATGTGTTTAGGCATTATAAATGGATATCCTGATCAACCAAATCCCTCTCTTTCTTTTGTTAGGTGAAATGTGCCTGCATTGATATACCACTATTCAAGTTGTCCACCTTTCTCATTTGTGAAAAGAAGGCTGTGGCATGAGTTACCTTTCAATAGCTGGGGTACCTAAGGGCATTCCTGATGTTAAATTAGCTGCTAAAGGTCACAGACACCATAATATTGTAATGTGGGAGAAACAAATGTCAACTACCATGTCTCTTGATTTGTCATGAATTGGATCTTTCATTCAAGGGACATCTGCAGAACTACAAATTGCCATGCTGGTTGTCTTCATTGCCTTCCTCACTTCTTACGCTCTTCACTTCTGTCCACTGTGGTGTCAATTTGCAGTGAGGGTGACTGTCTGTTTTATAGGTAAAGAAGACTAGCTGATTCATGATTTCACTGAAATGTTCATCCAATGTTCTGTTTTTCAGGATCAATGTCAGTATCTGAGCCACTTCACTGATAACAAGTTAGGGTTAATGTTGGGGAAAGGGAAGGGTAGGTGCACAGTTGCTCAGTTACTCACATTGAGGTGAATATTGATCCGTTTTTTGCATATGCAGGTAGAAATTGTTTAGTTTTGTCTTTAACTGAGATTGAAAAATTCCATGATGACCTCACAAGCTCTCTGACTTCTTGTATTTATTGGTGTCATTCATGCTGGTATGAGTCTAAGCTTTTTCCATATTGTGTTTTTATCCATCTTCTCTTATCCTCTCTGCACCCTTAAATGAAGGCCATGTCTTTTCCATCGAGTAGATGTGTCAACTGAATACTTGCCTCCTGATATATTTTTATTTTCTATCTCTTTTTAGCAATAAATCTCCTGGTGTCATCTGATATCTAATGTTCTCTGCGTGTACCTCTTCTACGACCTATCACTGTTTCAGTGCAATCCCTGACTGTCGTTTTAATGTTGCTTTCACACTTTTACACCCACATTATTCTGTGAAGCTTCAAAGCTCTTGGAACGCTCTACTCAGAATTTTCGGATCAATATCAGTATCTGGGCAACGGCCCACCTGCCCCTCGGTTAGGGAAGGGTTAGGTGGGCAGTTGCCCAGATACTGATATTGATCCGAATTTTCCTGGTTGGTCTGTGTCCGTCTGTAACATTCTACGTATTCTTGTGAATGCCCATGTCTTCAAAGAATGTATTGCCAGCAATAAGTTGTGTGGTGCCTCCAGCACCATGAGGACCGATTCTGCTATTTGAACCTTGCTGATTTTCATCAACTTGTGCTTTGAAATCAACCGTAATCACATTCACATCATGAGTAGGGGTTTCCATTCAATATTACCTATAGCTGAAGTAGAATTTATCTTTCTCCTCTGTGTCGGTTACCTCAGTTGATGCGTAAGCTTGAACTACACTTACTTTGGCAAGTGATTACCAGAATCTTGCAGTTGCGAAGCGATTGTTGGTTGATTTTCAGTCCATCGGCTCTTGTGTAGCGACTTTAATGAAGAACAGGCCTCCCACCCTTCACATGATATTTGCTGTCTTCGAAGCTAAGTGCTGTAAGGTTGACCTGGTCCCTCCATATTATTTCCCCAATGCCTAGCACATTCAGATCACATGCCTTCATCTCTTTTATGCCTTGAGCTGACTTTCCGCATTGGTAGAACTCCTCAAATTCGTGGCTACTTTTGTCACACTTTTAGTACTAAAGATTGAGTGTGTCCGGTATCTGAGTTCATATTGGAACTCATCTGCCACGATCATAGATGCAACATACTGAACCCCGTCACTTCACCGCTGGTTCCATAGTCGCTGGGTGCCACGCTTTTTCTTCTCGCTATTTCCCTAACGATGTTGTTTTACATGGTGAGGTCGCTACCCTTACGTCCGATCCTCTTCTTTTCTCAGTTGGGCTTAAGATCAGAAATGGCATTGTGACTTTAGTGATGGCTTCAGGTGTATAAATGTAGAAAACCTTCGCTAATTAATTCAATATATTTTTTTTAGCAATGAGATCTTTTTGTTTTCTGAGACGCTGTGTTTTCTATATTTGATTCAAAACACAAAGGTTATTTAAAGGGGAAGTTTAACATAGCTGTGTTGATGTTTAGCTAGCTTTTTAATTACTCGTCACCAAAGTTGTCCCGCTTACTAGTAGGAGGTAATAAAAATATTTATCATAACTATTATTTTAGCTTAATTATTTCAATTGTGGTCGTAAAAGTGGTCCATCCTTAAAAGGGGACCACATTGTTTAGAGAATTCTGAATTGAGATATCACCTATTAAACTTACCAAATTTTTTTATGTAAATTTTCATATACTATTGTGATTCATTTTGTTAAACAAATAATTGCCTGTTTAAGATGCTTTTAGAATGTTCCGTAAGAGTTTGTGGACAAAAGACAACGTAAATTAACCATACATGAATTATTGTAAGCCTTGGAACTGCATAGGTGAATTGTAAAGAAATAACTTATAGAAGTGTATATTTAAGATTAAAAGTAAGATTATTAACGTTAAATTTAAAGCTACAGATTCAAAGCTAAGTCCTTTGAAGAAAAACAACAAATATATCTACATATATATATATATATTGAGAATTCGCTACGCTGAAGCCTCACCCTCAAGGAGAGTGAGAAGTAAAAGGTTTTATAGAACTATTTTAAGGTCTGAGATATTTCATAAGCAATAAGGTCTGTCCTAAGGCGTGCACGAGGTTTCATTTAACTTTCACACATTTAGTAACTTGATCTACTGTTAAACAGGAATGGTTTTTTATTTAATGCGTTTATTTATGTTGAGCGTAGCTTTTTAGGCTTATTTAAGATTTCACACACGTTCATATTTGGTATTCAAATTTTTAGGGGTTTTCTACTGTGAGTTGCGGGGTTTTGGAGTATTTTTTATGAAATAGATCCTCAGAAACGTAACGAGTTACCCTTTTTTTCTAAATTTCGAGGGCTTCTTACATCTTGCGTGACCTTATACTATTTATAAGAACGTAACGAGTTACCTTTTTTTCCTAAATTTCGAGGGTTTCTTACATCTTGCGCGACCTTATACTATTTATAAGAATATTAAGAAATGACGCCAAAATAAAGGATGAATATTTATTAATGTGTGCACATATACTTTGAACTGTATTTGTAGTGGCGCGCGCAGCGTATGACCATTTGTAAAAAAATTGGTAGAAACCTATCAAGTCGAGGAAATTTGGTCCGGTACGACAGTCCGTCCACGCAAGGCGTTACTGTCCGCATGCGCAGCCAACGGCATTACTCTTGTTTAGCGGACGTTTCAGTACGACGCAGTACACTATTTAAAGTATTCTCCCTTGTAGCCTCGTGTCCGAGAGTGCTCAAGGAGAGCGCATTCTTGGAGCATTGATCATCATACCAGCCTCTGCGAGGGAAGTTTCCGAAATGAACAGAAACCTCAATTGGATATGCACCGTGTGCCTGCTTTTAATTGTGTGTGATCTTACACATGATAAAGTATCCGCAATCCTTATTTCCTAAGGACAAGGGACTGGTCCTTATTTATCGCCTGGGAGGGGAGGGGGGGATGATGAGAGGATTTTCACAATAAATTTACCCGATTTCCCCCCCCCCCCCCCAGGCTCTGTATTATTGTAATGATCCCTCCCTCACTGGCAGTCAATTTTCAATAGTTTCCCCCTCTATATTCTGTCGGCGACGACTAAGCTTGTAAAATGCTGAAACGTTGCTAACTGGAATGCCAAAGAGTTGCTAAAGAATTGCCAAAAATCCAAAGTCTCCAACTGAATTTCAGAGGCCTTTTATGGCTTAGACGGTTGGCATTTAAATTTCAGGGACTATGACGATTGGCGTTTTTACGAAGATATATTCACGACTTAAAATCGATGTTTTTCTGTTTTTAAAATAAATAACGAATGATTTTCAGATCTATTTAGTCTTTCTCTGATGAAATGAAATAAAGCGCAAGATGCCAGAAATCGGATCCTCGTGTTTGTGCAAGGTGTCCGGAATCTTGGATTTAGAATTCTCTTTCGTTCGACTGTTACGTTTGCATCTCGCGTGCTTTTATAATCCTCTTTCGTTGGATCATCGCGTTAGTAACCCGCACACGTTTAGGTCTGATTATTTGAACAAAGTAAGCCGTTGTTTAACAAAACCGCATCCTAAACAATTCCTAATATAGTTCTCAGAACACTTAATTCTGTGAACTGCGTCAAGAGGGCCGAGAGTTAACAGGGGAAGGACATTTATTCGATTAAATCAACACTCTTATAAGGTCTACTGATTGCGTAACACCGTGCTTTGGGTTAGACCTCGCATAAATAACTGGTCCATAGAATTCTCTTCCATTGGATTGTTAAGCTATTTCATCGTATAAACTAAGGTGTTATATAAGGATTTCCAGCCCCGAGAAAAGCTATAACAACACACGTGAAAAAATGACATTTTTTCTCATGTTTGATACCAACAATGAGCTGCTGACACGTCACTCGCCTTCCGCGCTACTTAGTCAGGTCGACGAATGAACCATTCTCAATCTATGGTTGTTTGTTGGAATTTTCTCGGATTCCGGCTGCTAAAACACTGAAAAATCTGTATCGCTTACAGACAGGGGAAGAAAACCAAAATACGAAAAATAAAAACCGAAAGTTACGTAATTGGTGGCTGAGAACGAAATTGACAACTGGAAGATTTGCCACTGGCCGATTTTCGCCGTGTACCTGAAAGATTTCTCCTGTCGGTAAGGACATAGTTGTTTTTGTAATGATTGAACGCATTTTTACTTCGAGTCTTAGTACCAACGCACTTTACGATTTTTATTCGGGGTTGTCGACTTTTCTTGCCACCAAAGGGCTAGTGTACATAATAAACAAAAGAACACATGGTTGCTTGTAGATATGGAATTTCTCTTTCTTTTTTTTTTTCGTTTCGCGAATGAATTGCGACTCTTTTACGGGTATCAAATGGTCCTTCATAGCGGCTAGATTCAAGAATATTCATTGACTAAATTTGCATTGCAGTCGTGTTTCTTCTTCTTTAAGGTCTTGTCGCGCTTACCTTCGTAAGCAGCGCGACAAATTCAGTCAACCTTGAAAAGTGGCGGGGTATGCAATAGCTTTTCCGGATATTCTGTTTGCAACAAATTTTGCTCGGTAGTGTGAGAACGATATGACAAGTGTTGGGAACAGAATTAATTGTAATTGGTTGGTTCAGGGTTAGATGTCCATCTGGTTGGTTCCGAATCGCACCCAATTCGCGCTTTTAAGCATCCGAGAAAGATCTGAGAAATTTATTACAGCCTAATTTGAATTTCTTGTCTTCCTTTTTTTTTTCTTCTCGTGGATTTGTGTTAGTATATGTTATCACTTTGGGTTACTATTCCAAGATCACTCATTCTCTACATATTTCCCATGTTAGATGAATTTCGACGTATGGTAACATCAGACACTTAATTTAAACTCAGTTTATTCTTTGTTAGTGTTTAGTGAAAGTGATGGTGCACTTCTATGTCTCCTACTGCGCTGTCTCCTCTGTTTGATCTGGGTTTACGAAGACGACGTCCTCCTTGGCGGCACTGTGATCTGATGTGCCTAACGATGCCACAGTTATGATATCTCCCTGCAAGGAAATAAGGATTCTTATTATATAAACAGTCGTGAAATCCCGCAAAAACAGGATATTTTCACATATAAAAATAACACTGTCCCTACTCTTGAAAAATAGATGCGCCTTTCGCAGCGAAAGAAGAATGGATTGCCCTTTCCTTTGCGCTTATAGACGAGTCATTAGAATCTCCGCGCAGCCAAGTAATATCCTCTATTCATTACAGGAATAGCAGTAAAATCTTAGACGAGCTCGGGCACGAAAATGCGACATGTTTACAAGTGAATACGACACAGATCCTATTGTTACCCTATGAGTAGCGCGCGAATGAAATGGTTCGGCGAGTCCTTTATGTTTATATGATAAAATAATATTAGATAGTCATTTGGAGATACGAAATTAAGGGAAAAATATTTCTCTTTCGCTGCGCGCACTCCTGAGACATTTTTAACCCTAGAAGGGATATTTCGTTTCCCAGCACGCCATTTTATATGGTGTATCTAGCTATCTTAAAACATGAATTGTGAATTGAATAACTTGGCGAATGAGACTAAAGAGACGATCTATTTCAGTTACTTGGATGAAAAAACGCTTGGTAGCAATTTCAGAACATCTCCATCCCCCTCAAATTTGCGTGCGCAATTTAAGAGTTACGTCCGCGGTCCTTAGGTGATTTTCCATAAAGTTTAAATGAGGTTTAAAAGGACTATTAGGCGCTGAAGAACTAATGCTTTCGCAGTCCTACGCTCCCGAAGTAAGAATTAGTCATAGAAAACGAGGTGTACAAATGCTACTCGCACAGTCCCGTAATCTCGAACTCAATTGTCGTCACGATTCGGTGCTTTCATCATAGAAATCAGATGACTGCGGAACTGCAGGAACAGCTTTTAAAAATTGTAAATTTGGTGGTTCTGACTTCTGAAATCTAGCCAACAGTTGGAACTTTAGATAACTTACAGGGTTGACAATGTTTTTGTGGCAGGAGGGACGGGGCGGTAGAAAACATCCTCTTTGCCTACTATTCCTCATCTCGGCCATGTCCCTCTCCCTCTCTCTAGGCGCCACCTTTCCCTTTCCTCTTCTCGTTCACTTTCCTCCTTGCGCTCTACTTCTGTACGTAATAATTCCATTGCGTCTTTAATTTCAGACGTCTGAAAGGCAGAAGCCAATAAAATTTCTACGTCACATTTTTCACCAACTACAAAATTTTACACTGTCTGCACTTTTTGTCTAACGAAGAATAGCAATTTATGAATAATACATGATTCTACGAGATGTAAATAACTAAGTTGCTTAAAACTAAAGCAAAAAATTGCCTTAAAACCGTTATTTACTTCCGGTTGTGAGATAATTAGGGAGATTAAAATATTTAGCCACTGGTTTGGATGCGTCCTTGTCATTTCTTTCTACGTCGCGAAGGTGTTCTCGGGTCACCTAGTCATCTTCCTGTTTCACCAATGTATACCTTTTTGCAGTAGATAAACACCGAGCGGTGTCAGACTCTCCCACCGACGAAACGTACCCCCTTTTATCAATTCGAAATCAGTCGTCTTGTTATTCACTGAATTGTACTCCATCATTTTAAGATTGTTACTAATTAACATCATTGACTCAAACGTTTCAAAAAAATGCATGCTACTATTCTCGTCCTTCAGGTTCTGAAAACTTATGAAATCATGATCAACGTGCGTCTCCATAAGTGATCAACCAATAAGAAAAACTGCCTTATGTTAATTAATTCAGGCAAGCTACTTCAATAAAAAACACACGCAAGGTTATAGTTTTTTTTCACCCAAGGGGTTAAATAATGCACGTACACTTTGGGTTGGGCTAATTTCGATATAGGCCAAAGTTACTGATTAAACGATTGTTGAAGGAAAATTTTTTGAGGGGTGCTCAAAAATAAGTAGTGCGAAGGGCTCGAAAATATGCGCATTCCTCAGACTTTCAAAGGTCCCGTTGCATCGTGGGTTTGTGTTATATACACTTACCGGTAATAGAATTACCGACCTATTCTGAATTAATCTTGAACGATGGAGAGAACCGCACAGAGTATTCGAGGTAAGTCTACACTGTCATCATTATGTGACCAGCTTCTGTAAGATAAGATCTCTAAATGAACAGAAACCTCAGTCGGATATGCACTGTCCGCCTGTTTGTTACTTTAAGCAAACTGAGTTACTGTACTTGTTTTGAATTTCCCGCGGAAAGATGGTCTAGGGCCCAATAGAGATCAGCTCGGATTCATTGTTGCTCTCAACAATGGTCAGATTTAGTAGTTCTGAATGAATAGGAGTTACTGGTGTATTCCGTTTCAGTGACAACTTGATCAGTAAAGATCTTGCGACAAGATGAGAGTCGTAGCGGCTTTTTAAAATGTCACGTTCTGGACGCCAATGTCTAATCTCTCGAAAGCCTTTCACGAATCGTTCAGCCTTTTACTTCTTTGAAAGCAACAGTGAAGTTTTCATAGATTATACCGATCACTAAAGTTAGATCGATGGATGAAG